CTGTCCCCCAGTCTGTCCCCATCCCCCAGGCTGTCCCCACCCCAGCAGGGATCCGTGGCTGCTCGCAGCCCCGCAGACACAGCCTGGGCAGGGAATGCGGAGCGGCAGCCAAGCTCTCCCCGGCCCTGCCAATGTTTGTGGTGCTTTTCTGTTTCTCTGGTGGAGCTCGAAGCAGCAGCTCCAGGATTTGTGAAAGAGGTTGATGGGAACGGGCTCCCAGACTTTTTTCTTTTCTCCTTCCCCACAAAGCAACAAAGCCCAAGTTATGCCAGGAATCAAAACAGGCGCTGGGTCATTGAAACAACAATGTCTGTGGTGAGCTCAGAGACACAGACTGCAGCTTCCCGRGCAGGGACAGACTCCTGGGGACACCTGGGCTTTGCAGGACCCTGAGAACGTGGGGAGAGCACTGAATTCCCTCCGTGAATGGAATCCTAAATGCTGAATTCTCCAGCCCCAAGCTGAGGGGCAGTGCCACAGCAAGGCTCTGCAGGTCACAAAGTCACCTGTGACCCTTCCAAGCAGAATTCATCTCCTTCCATCATTCCTGGACAGGTCCGAGCTCCCCTCTGCCCTTGGGCAGGTGATGAATGGTGCTGTGAACCTGGCTGGGAGCGGGGGTACCCCTGGGTAGGGCATTAGGGCCAGCTCCTGTCACTGAMAGGGCAATTGGAGCTCACCCCCTTRTTAGGGAACCYTTTTGGGGTCAGAMTGCACAGAAYTGGGGCTGAGCGCCGAGTCAAAGCTGTGCTGCAGAGCTTCTGCCCAAAAAAATGACATTTCAATGATATCTTTGGGGAGTATCAGCTTGCTTAGACCTGCCTGAGATGTGGTGCCAGGAATTTCCAATCATTAGGTCCWGGAATGATCAGGGCTCGAGTCTGAAGGGCTCTCACCAGGGGTAGAGGGGTGAAATGCACGTTCCTGTTGCTGTCTGACCCCCTGAGCCCGAGAGCTGTGCTGCACCCTCAAAAACCATACCTGCCGCCCTCAAACGCACAGAACTGACCACTTTTATCCAGGCAGCTTTAAAAAAAAAAGTGGATTTCCGCTGTGCCTGAGGCTGTGGGGCAGCAGCAGAGCTCAGCCGAGAGGGGAACTCCACGAAATCGCCTCTTCCTTCGGTGATGCCACAAACACTGCGCGTTTTCCTGTCGGAGATGGAGGGTGGGGAAACCTCCAGGAACGGCGCTGAGAGCTCCCACCTGGGGATTCTCCTTTGGTTTGAAGTCCTTCCTCCGTCCCCTTTCGCATCACCGCTGGCATCAGCGGGGAGGAAGGAGGGACAAGTGACAAAAGAGAATTTTATCCTCAGGGGTGACCCCCGGGGGCACGGGGAACCTTTCCTTGCGCTGTCCCCGGCGGGAGCCGCCCCCGGGGACATCTCCGGTAGGTGGCACACGGGACCCGCGCACGAAACCCGACACTGCCAGACACTCCCTTGGAATAGCCAGGGGCCGGGCAGGAACCAGGAAATCCACGGCGAGCTGGCCAGAAATCGCCGCAGCTCCATGGGGGAAGGAGCGACATGGGCAACCTGTGCAGCTGCGGGCGCCCGTGGTGAGTGCGGCTGGGGGCGAGCGCCGGGCGCMGCTTTSGGGAGGATTTGGGGAAGTTTTGCGGCTTTGCCGGAGTTCCCGGCTGGCTCCCAGCCCTGCACCTGGCCGGGGAGGGCGAGGAGAGAGCGGGGTCGGGGCTGTGCAGGTGCCTGGGGCAGGACAGGGGACAAGAGAGGTTTTTTTTTGTCACATCTCAGCCCCGACGGGACCGGCAGCTCGGGGTCCCGCGGCCGCCGAGCACCGGGGAAGGATCTGGTGGCAATCCCTGTSCTCACAGGGGCTCTCCGGCCCTCTCCGGCTCTCCTTTGAGAGGTTCAGCCGGGGTTCACCCTGCTCTCAGCGATTCCAGTCTCTCTCCCTGCCTGCGCCTGGCTGGGTTTTATTTGTGCCCGGGGAAATCCCGGCCGCGTTTTTGGGATGCTGTGGCTCTTTCTCCCGGGGAGGGACGGTGACACTTTAATCCCTGCTGCGCCCCGGACCTCCCGCTCGCACAGAAAGGGCAGCGCTCGCTGCCAAGTGGGAATATTTTCAGCCCTGGGCGTGCTGCGAAGGGAAGAGCCGTCAGAATATCAGATGAAGCTCCGAGGACGTTCTCTCTCYAACGCTGCGTTTGTTGAAAGTATGAGAAATTCTTCCAGGGTTTTTAATAATTCCAAGAGGCACAGCATCACCTAGTGGAGGAAATTTCGGGAGTTCGTTCTTCCAAGCCCTGAGGAATTTGGGATTTAGGAATGGAGGTGAGGGGTGGAAAGCTGGGTTTTTACGTCGCCCACCGAAATTCCCATTTTTTAATTTCTTCTGCCCTGTGGCTGAGGGTAAATGAGGCACCCGGGGYTCCAGCAGACGAGGGCTTGATCAGGGGCTGCCTGGGGCACAGTCTGAGCGCTTTGAAGAAAAGCTTTTACAGCAAATTTATTCCCAGGAGAGCGGTGTTGATGAAGGAATTGTGCCCTGGGGTCGGGGCGCCTCTGCCCTGTGCACGCTGTCACATTTAAAGTGGCACTGAAGTGGCACAGACAGGGAAAGTCGCCCAAATTCAGCCCCAGGACGATGTGGRGCAGGAATCGGGGAAGGGGAAAGGGAAGCAGCAGTGTGGGAGCAGGGACACGGCGCTGCCACGGAGAATTCTCTCCGGCTGGGAGTTACAACACGTCTGACCCGGTTCGGAGGGGCGGGAGAGGTTTCCCCGCTCCCATTTCCCGTGGCACTCGTGTCCCCATTCCCGAGGAGATGCCTGGCTGCGATCATCCCCCGACAGGAATAGCTGCAGCCCACACACGGCACAAAGGGAGCAGCCCGGAATGCCGGCACAGGGGAGGGACCCGGCTCCTCTGCTCCTGCTGAAGGGTTTGGGGACAATTCCGGACTCTGGGGGTGCGACAAGGAGCGTGCCCGGGCACACRGGGCTTGGCGAGGAGGAGACGGGGAGAGGAGGCTGTGAGAGCCCGCAAGCACAAAACGGTGTGATTTAAACCCCGAATTCCTGGGGAGAACCCCCAGATTTTGCCTGTGAAGGGCTGGAGGTGCCCCCGCGGCAGCGCTGGAGCTTTGGCCACCCTGCCTTGCTCAGAGCCGCCTTCACCTGGCAGCTCCGAGCCCGGTTAATGATTACTGCTCATTCCGGAGCTCTCTGCCTGCGCTCTCGGCGGTTTTTGTTTTTCTGGAGTGCCGGGTCGCTGCTGCACACGCCGTGCTGTCCCCGCCCGCTGTCCCAGTGAGAGCTGGCAGCGGCTCCGTGCCCGGGGTGGCAGCGCTGGCTGGCAGATGGCACCGAGTGGGACACACGGCGTTCCCTGGAGCCCGAATGCTGAGCCTGC